GGGGGGGGGGAGGAAGGCGGGCGGCAACGGCGCCGGGTGGAGCGCCGGGACCGGGCACGCAGGCGAGGCGGACACCCGGGAGGACGCACCGAAACAACGGACTCGGCCTGGGCGAAGACCGCCAGGCAGCGGCTCAAATTCGGCCAAATGTGCTGGAGCAGCAGCAATAGCGGATCGGTCCCGGCCCGGTCGGCGTCGGGGCCCAGGTCATCGGGCACTTCGAACGCCGGGGTGTCGGACCAGCCGGAAGTGCCGGCCTCCGGGCCCTGGGACACTGGCTGGGTGCGCCGGTGGAGGGCGGCCTCGGCGCTGGAGGTGGAGCTCCGGAAAAGCAGCCCCAGCAGCTCCAGCAGCCGGGCGGTGGCCTCGGCACAGGGCCCGCCACCGGCCGGGGCGCCGACAGCCCCCTGCCGGCTCAGGGTCAGGGTGTGGTCCAGGGCCGAGGTAATGGGCTCCGACACGGCGATGAGCGCCTCCAGAAAGGCCGCCTGGGGGAGGTGGCAGATCAGGCGGGCCGTGATGTCGATGAGCGCCTGGCAGGCGGCTGTGACGGCCGGCGCGACACCCGATCCAGCGCTCGGCACATCCGGGGAGGCGGCGGCCCCGGGAGGCTTGTGGGCGCCGGTGGCCGATGCCGAGGCCGAGAGGCTTGCCCACTCCTGTTGTAGGTACAGGGCACTGGCTTGCTGGAAGAGGGCGGCCACCCGATCGACGAAGGGCCGGCTGGCGGCAAGTTGGATGCTAGCCCGCGAGGCCAATGTGCCGAGGGCCTCGAGGGCCGCGGTGTTGATGGCACGCAAGCCCTGCAGGGTGGCCGAACCGGCGGCCAGCCTGACCGGCGGGTCCACCGCCACCATCGATTGCTCCAGCAGGTCGAGCACCTGGCTGGCGGCATGCAGCTGCGGAGTGACCGGCATCTGCGGGGTCATGCCCGAGGGGGTTAAAAGCGGGGCGAGGATGGCCTGGAAGCCCAGGCTGGCCACCGTCAGCAGGGGGTAATCTGGGCTTTGGAGGCGGGGCATGTCCAGCAGGATGCCCAGCAGGGCATCCTTCTCGCTGGGCTTCAGCCCAACGCAAAGGGCCTTCAGGACCGAGGTCAAGCAAAACAGCGCGGCCTCGGTCGCCTGTGTGCGTGTGCGAGAGGCCCAGTCCATGGGGAGCAGGGGGAGAAGGCGCGAAGGGAAGAATGAAGAGGGGAAGAGGAGGAAGGACGGCGGGTCATGGTGAGCCTTGGGCGATTGCACATGAGCAAAAGAGGGGAGGAGGGGAGGGAGAGAGAGAGGGAGAGGGAGGGAGGGGGGCGTAGAGAGACGTAGGGAGATAAAAAGAAATAAAGAGAGACGGAGAGAGACGGAGAGAGACGGAGAGAGACGGAGAGCCGCCCAGCACCCAAGTCAAACGCACCCGCCACTTGGCTTCGGTGTAACCCCCCACAAGGCCCCCCAAATGCTGGGCGAATACCGGGACCAGGAGGTGCTGACTGGAGTCCAGGAAGCCGGCCACCGTCTCCCGGAAAACCAGGAAATCCTGGCGCTCGTCTGATCCATGGGGCGGGGTGGTGAGTCGAAGCCGAGCGAGGAAGAGCCCGCACGAGAGAGAGAGAGAGAGAGAGAGAGAGAGGGATGGGAAACAAGGCGGAAAGAAGGAAGGCGTCCCGGCCACACGCACCGTCGTCCTCCCACACGGCCGTCGCGTGATCCAGGTGCGAGGGGAGGGCCGCCTTGTCGGCCAGAATCAGGGCCGCGCGCACGAACGCCGGGTCCAATAGCTCCAGCAGCAGGCCGGCATCCCCCTCGAAGGCGGCCGCACTCAGTTGTAGCTCGGCCCACGCGCGCAGGGCCAGCTGCGTGACCGGCTGCTCCGGGCCCGGCTCGCCCGGGGCATTGGTCAGGCGCAGCAGCAGGTCCAGCACCGGGCCCAGCACCGCCGGATCGGCGGCCGCCTGGGCCAGGGCCGTGCTGGAAAAGTCCACGCTCCAGCGGACAAACAGCTCGGCCACCAGCCCCAACGGGGCCATGGCATCGGCTTCGATCAGCCAGTCGATCACCGGGCCGAGCTGGCCCAGCCGGGCGCCCAGAAGCCAGCAGTGGCGCCCGGTGTCAAAGGCCACCATGCACCGGACCAGGCGGTGGTAGGCATCCACCAGGAGCCGCAATTCGTCGGCCAGAGGCCCGGGCGGCTCGTGCGCCGCCCGGGCCCGGGCCATCACCGACTCCACCGAATCAAGCACATGAAGGACCGCGTCCGCCGGCCGGGGAACCGGCAGGCCATTGGCCTCGGCCGGCGAGGCGCCGGTCTCCACATCCACCAGCAGGACCTGGTCGGTGGCGGTGTCCCGAGCGAACAGCCGCCCGGCGGCCGGCATCCATGCCGACAGACCGGACAGGGCCAGCGTGCGCAGGGAAGCCGGCGCGGCCATGTCGCACGCACGCTGCCACAACAGCCCCAGGGCCAGGAAGGCGCACGCTCCGAGCCGAGTGGCCGTCAGCCGGGCCTGCGCATCCGACACGCTGGCCGCCGCTTGGGCGCGCTCCGGCAGCAGGGCCAGATAATCCAGGAAGAGCCCCTCAAAGAGGATCCCCGCATCCGGGAGGGTCGATCGCCGGGCCGCATCCATGGTGGCCCGGCGTACATCGCGGATGACCCCATCCCACCCATCGAGCATGGCATTGACGGCCAGGGTGCAGAACTGTTTGCCGGCCGCGAGTCAGCAGGGGAGGAGGGGGGGGGAGGGGGGAGGCGAACACGAGCGGGCCATGGTCAAGGGAAGATGCGTAGTTGCAAGCGCACGGCCAGCACCAGGCATGTCCGGGCAATGGATTGCACCGGCGCCAGGAGGAAGAGCGCATCCAGGGTGGCATGCCGGAGCCAGACCTTGGTCTCGTCACTCAGGCTCTCCCATTCGGTCTCGAACTTATTTTTCAGGGTTTGCGCACCGAGGTACTGACACTCAATGGACTTTGAACCCCCCAGGGGGGGGGGGGGGCGAGGGCGGGGAGTCAGTAGCGGGGCCAAAGAGCCGATGTGGCCATGCGCGGAATGGCAGCCAGGGCCGGAGACAGGAGAACGGCCGAAAGCGAACCTCGATTTTCAATAGATCGAAGCAGGTGCTCCAGTTGCCGGGGGATTTCTGCCAGGATACGAGCCAACCCTGCGCCTGGTTGACCTGGGCAGGCGAGGCGGTCGGCGAGTAAAGACAGGTGATGGCCTGGGAGCAGGGGCCAGGGGACGTGGGGACGATGTGAGGGGCCATCAGCACAAGCAGGGGGCGGTGGAGGGCTGAGAAGAGATGCGATTGAGGATGACGCACCTCGACGACCTTCTCAGTGGGCACCATTGTCGGGCGCACGCGCGCGCGTACACGGGCCGAGTTAGCCCTGATCGAGGGGGCGGAGGGAGAGAGAGAGAGGGGGGGGGAGAGAGAGAAGGAGTGACAGGGCCTGGCGCCGGATACAGAGAGGAGGCAAGATGTAGGTGAGAGGGGAATTGCAAAGGCAAACAAGAGGTGTGCAGGCGGTGAGAGAGGCGGTGGCGCGGTGATCCACAGCCCAGGGGGGTAGAGGGCGGATGCCCGGCGTGGGGGAGCGGCCGAAGAAGAGCCGGGCGATCGTGCGCTGCCTTGTCCGTGCCGGAGCAGCCCCCGCCCCCCCCCCCCCCTCCAGCCGGATGCGATCTCCCCAGCCGAGGCGGTCCGCCCTTCCGCCTAGACGGGCAGATTCCGGAACCCAACACCACACAGGGACACCAACACACACATACCACCCGGAGCAGCACACAAATGCCACACACACACACACACACACCGCCGCCCCCTGGCGCACAGGCGCCGGCGGCCCGATCAACCCGTCCGTTGGCAAGCGCTGGGCGCAGGACGCCCCCCGGCCGAGGGGGGGAACATTTTTGAATTATCTAGTGTATTTTTCTGGTCGCGGGGCATGGCGCCCCATTTTTTTCGTACACACAAAGAGAGTGGAGAAAGGGACAGGGGGGAGGGAGGGGGGGAGGGCCGCTCATCAGTGCTGCTTCTCCTTGTTCGGGGACTGGAGGGCGTTGCGCCAGCGGCTGAGGACCTTGAGAAGCTCATCGACCAGGAGCACCGGCAGGGAGAAGGACAGGACGGCGATCCACTCCTGGGTGTTGAGCGGGGTGATGGAGAACATCCGGCTGAGGAAGGGAACATAGAGGATGACAAAGTGCAGGGCGAAGGACATGGCGCAGGCAGCAATCAGGTACGGGTTGGACCAGGGCTTCTGCACGAAGAGGGACTGGTTCTCGGAGAGGCTGTTGAAGGCATTGAACATCTCGATGGTCACCAGGATGGACAGGGACATGGTGGACGCATGGCGGGCCATGATGTTGGAGAACATCTCGCAGCCCACCTCCGGGAAGAGGGTCGAGCAGTCGTGGAAGTTGCGCAGCTGCCAGAAGGAGATCTGCGGACCGCCGGAGTAGCTGACAAACCACCAGATGTACCCGCCGACGGTGGCCAGGCCCACATACAGGCCGACCACCATGTACCGGAAGAAGAGCCACCCATTGACGATGGACTCGTCCGCCCGCCGGGGGGGCTGGCGCATGATGTCCACATCGGGCGGGTTGAAGCCGAGGGCCGTGGCCGGCAGGCCGTCCGTGACCAAGTTCACCCAGAGCAGCTGCACCGGGATCAGCGCCTCGGGGGTGCCGAGGATGACGGTAAGGAAAATGCTGTGTGTGTGTGTGTGTGTGTGTGTGTGTATGGCACCAGGGGTGATGGGGGGACGATGGGGTTAGAAGGGGCGAGGTGGTGGGCTGGGCGCGCGCATGTGCACGCGAGGAGACCGAAGAGGAGAAAGAGCAAAGGAAGCCCCCGGCGAGGAGGGCCAAGAAAAAGAAGAAGAAGAAGAAGAAAAAAAAAGGGCACACGTACCACACAACCTCGCCAATGTTCGAGGAAATCAGGTACCGGATGAACTGCTTGGTGTTGTTGAAGATCGACCGACCCTCCTCCACGGCAGCGACAATGGTGGCGAAGTTGTCGTCGGCCAGAACCATGTCCGAGGCCTCCTTGGCCACGGCCGTGCCGCTGCCCATGGCAATGCCGATGTCCGCGCGCTTGAGCGCCGGCGCATCGTTGACACCGTCGCCGGTCATGGCGCACACATGGCCCAGGGCCTGGAGCTGGCGCACCAGCGCCAGCTTGTGGTTCGGCTCGGTCCGAGCAAAGAGCGACGCATGCTGGACGGCGGTCATGCGCTCGGACTCGCTGAGCAGGTCATACTCGCGCCCGGTGTAGGACTTGTGCGTGAGGGCCTCCTCGGCCGAGAAGACCCCAATGCGCCGGCAGATGGCCTCGGCGGTTTCCTTGTTGTCGCCGGTGATGACAATCACCCGGATGCCGGCCTCATGGCAGGTGCGGATGGACGCGCGCACCTCCTGGCGCGGGGGGTCCAGCATGCCGACCAGACTGACGAAGGTCATGTCCGACTCGTAGGAGGCAAAGCGCCCGGCATCCGAGAAGTCATAGGAGTCCGGCTCGCCGGCCTGGTCCACCGTGGCCAGGGCCAAGCACCGGAGGGTGTCCTGCCCGGTGCCCCAGGCACGAATGCGATTGGCCAGCGTGGCCCGGATGTCCTCGGTCAGGGGGACCCGCGTGCCGCTGTGCGTGCGGAAGTGCGTGCACCGCTCGAGGATCCCCTCCGGGGCACCCTTCACCAGGAGCCGGCACTGGCCGGAGGCCTTCTCCCGGACCAAGACCGACATGGACTTGCGGTCGCGGCTGAACTCCAGCGTCACCAGGCGCTCGTGGCCGGCGGCGATATGGGCATTGACCGCCTGGACGCGCTTCTCCGGGCCCATTCCCGGCAGGTGGCGGTTCAGCGCCGCGTCATAGGAGCCCACCTTCTCCGCCAGGACCTTGAGGGCGGCCTCGGTCGGCTCGCCGAGGGCCTGGTAGGCGCCGGTCTCCGGGTTGAACTGGATGTCCGAGTCATTGCAGAGCGAGCAAATGCGCGACAGCTCGGCGATGGCGGCGCTGTTCAGGGCCAGGTCGATCTGCTCCTTGCCGTTGGACAGGCTGCGCGTGGAGGGGGAAGCGTGTGAGAAGAGGGCCGGTGTGTGTGTGTG